CTTCTTCTTCTTCTTCTTCTTCTTCTTCTTCTTCTTCCTGCTTCTGCTTCTGCTTCTGCTTGAACTCAAGGCTCAGGTGCTGTCCCTGAGCTTTTTTGTTCAAGACAAGAACTCTACCACTTAAGCCACAGCTTCACTTACAGCTTTTTGGTGGTTGGTGGTTACTTGGAAATAGAGTTTCACAAACTTCTGTGTCCAGGCTGACTTTGAACAGATCTCAGCCTCCTGAATAGCTAGTATTATAGGAAAAGTCAGTGGCACCTGGCTACATTTTACTTTTTGAACAAACCACAGAATAGCATTATAGGATTTAAAATTTTTGGCTATGGCTGATTGCTTCCTTAATTTTATTCTTATGTATTCCTAGATTCCCTCCTAAAATCTACATAGAGAAATAGAGGGTTGATGTGAATGCTAATAGTTCTGATGTCTTAGTAAGTGCTATAGTTTGGATACAAAGTGCCAAGTATTAAAAGTCCCCCTAAAGTGCCAGGTATTAAAAGCTGTCCTCCCAACTCATGATACCACTGGGTGAAGCTTTTACAGTTGGGTGGTCCTCTGGGCTTCAGGTAATTGAAGATTTGTGCTTGAAACGATAGAGAGACTCCGGCCCCATCTTTCTTCTTTTTGTTTTTTCTCTCCTCTATTTTCATTTTTTTCAGTTGATATATATATAAATATATATATATACTATATATATATATATATATATATATAGTAAAGATGCTAGGAAGAGGAGTTACAGTTACATGAATAAGGCAATGAGTACATTTTTTGTCGAGCATTGTTGTTCCCTCCCTTGTGGTTCTTCCCTCCTCCACCTGTCTTACTCCTCTCCCCAGCCCACCCCCACACCCACCCCCAGAAGTTGTAAAATTCATTTTCAACCACTTCTTTTAAATTTGGGAAAAAGAAAAAAAACTCTACCTACCATAGCTGTACTATTTGCATTCTAATGAACAGTTTATAAAAGTTTCAAATTCTTAACCTTTTCATGAGCACATATCTTTTTTTTTAATTGTGAAAATACTGTACAGAGGGGTTACAATTAAATGGGCAAGATAATGAGTCTATTTCTTATCAAGCATTGTAGCCTCCTCCTTTGTTTCCCCTTCCCATCCCTTCCCATCCTCCGCCTGCCCCCCCACCTAACCCTCCCCCCCCACCAAAGTTGTAAAGTTCATTTTTGACATAATGACTTGTACATCTCATTGTTGCAATGGGTCCACCTGTATCCCTATTTAAA